GCGTGTGTGGTGTGTGTGTGTGTGTGTGTGTGTGTGTGTGTGTGTGTGTGTGTGTGAGGTCATGTGACGTGTTTGTGCGTAGATGAAGCAGACGAGCTGGTGGACGCCATCACAGCCACGAAAGAGAGCGTTCAGTATGACCATCCCAACCACACCGTCACCGTGACGACCATCAGCGACCTCGACCTATCAGCAGACAGATTACTGGAGCCAGATCAGGTGACCTTCACTGTCCAATCAGCTGCTCGCTAATGAACGAGGTTAGACCGCTTAACAGTGTGTGTGTGTGTGTGTGTGTGTCGTTTCTGCAGAGAAATGAAGAGCGTGAGGAGGAGAAGGATGGTGAAAAAATACAGGCCCTCCCGAAGACAGCTGGAAACCCCCTCATGTCTGAAAAGTACTGACTGATTGATTAATATTGATCCGTGTTGAATCAGAATGTAACTTGACTCCTGAATGATTTGTTCGAGGAGTCGTGTCTGATTCATTATCTGTGTGTCTGTAGGATCCAGAGGCTCACGGCGTCACTGAACAGTCTCTCTAAACAGAAGAAGAAGAGGAGGAAGCGGAAGCCCAAAGAGGAAATGAGGCGGAGAAACCATCAGAGCGACTGGAAGTCATCACCATTCACTCACAACAAGAAGTTGCGGAAGGCAAAATCCACCAAAGCACAGAGACGCAAATGGACGGGCCAGAACGAGCGCAACCAGGACTGATGAATGCCAGACTCGCGGGAGAATAGTAGCGATTAGTCGACCGGCGCATCGCTAAACTCACGAACTCTCTATGCTCGATGCTACGCTGATGTGTTTGTGTTTTACATGTTTGATGCTTTAAGGACATTAAAAAAGGAATGTTTCATCATACAGTGTCGTACTTTCATTGCCACTTCAGAGTAAAGCTCGTTCACAACAGGAACAACGATAACTATAATAATAACAACTATAATAACTGTACAATAAGATAACTAATGATAACTGTAATAACTAACGATGATAACGATAACTAATGATAATTGTAATGACTAACGATAATGATAACGATAACTAATGATAACTAATAACTAACGATAATGATAACTAACTATAACGATAACTAATGATAACTGTAATAACTAACGATAATGATAACGATAACTAATGATAACTAATAACTAACGATAATGATAACTAACTATAACGATAACTAATGATAACTGTAATAACTAACGATAATGATAACGATAACTAATGATAACTAATAACTAACGATAATGATAACTAACTATAACGATAACTATAACGATAACTAATGATAACTAATAACTAACGATAACGATAACTAATGATAACTAATAACTAACGATAACGATAACTAATGATAACTAATAACTAACGATAACGATAACTAATGATAACTAATAACTAACGATAACGATAACTAATGATAACTAATAACTAACGATAACGATAACTAATGATAACTAATAACTAACGATAACGATAACTAATGATAACTAATAACTAACGATAACGATAACTAATGATAACTAATAACTAACGATAACGATAACTAATGATAACTAATAACTAACGATAACGATAACTAATGATAACTAATAACTAACGATAATGATAACTAACTATAACGATAACTATATGAGAGAGTGTGTGTGTGTGAGCGTGAGTGTGTGTGTGAGAGAGAGTTTGTGTGCATGTGTGTGAGTGTGGGTGTGTGTGTGTGTGTGTGTGTGTGTGTGTGAGGTCATGTGACGTGTTTGTGCGTAGATGAAGCAGACGAGCTGGTGGACGCCATCACAGCCACGAAAGAGAGCGTTCAGTATGACCATCCCAACCACACCGTCACCGTGACGACCATCAGCGACCTCGACCTATCAGCAGACAGATTACTGGAGCCAGATCAGGTGACCTTCACTGTCCAATCAGCTGCTCGCTAATGAACGAGGTTAGACCGCTTAACAGTGTGTGTGTGTGTGTGTGTGTGTCGTTTCTGCAGAGAAATGAAGAGCGTGAGGAGGAGAAGGATGGTGAAAAAATACAGGCCCGCCCGAAGACAGCTGGAAACCCCCTCATGTCTGAAAAGTACTGACTGATTGATTAATATTGATCCGTGTTGAATCAGAATGTAACTTGACTCCTGAATGATTTGTTCGAGGAGTCGTGTCTGATTCATTATCTGTGTGTCTGTAGGATCCAGAGGCTCACGGCGTCACTGAACAGTCTCTCTAAACAGAAGAAGAAGAGGAGGAAGCGGAAGCCCAAAGAGGAAATGAGGCGGAGAAACCATCAGAGCGACTGGAAGTCATCACCATTCACTCACAACAAGAAGTTGCGGAAGGCAAAATCCACCAAAGCACAGAGACGCAAATGGACGGGCCAGAACGAGCGCAACCAGGACTGATGAATGCCAGACTCGCGGGAGAATAGTAGCGATTAGTCGACCGGCGCATCGCTAAACTCACGAACTCTCTATGCTCGATGCTACGCTGATGTGTTTGTGTTTTACATGTTTGATGCTTTAAGGACATTAAAAAAGGAATGTTTCATCATACAGTGTCGTACTTTCATTGCCACTTCAGAGTAAAGCTCGTTCACAACAGGAACAACGATAACTATAATAATAACAACTATAATAACTGTACAATAAGATAACTAATGATAACTGTAATAACTAACGATAATGATAACTAACGATAACTGTAATGATGACTGATTACTATAACGATAATGATAACTAATGATGATAACTAATGATAACTGTAATAACTAACGATGATAACGATAACTAATGATAATTGTAATGACTAACGATAATGATAACGATAACTAATGATAACTAATAACTAACGATAATGATAACTAACTATAACGATAACTAATGATAACTGTAATAACTAACGATAATGATAACGATAACTAATGATAATTGTAATAACTAACGATAACGATAATGATAACTAATAACTAACGATAATGATAACTAACTATAACGATAACTATAACGATAACTAATGATAACTAATAACTAACGATAATGATAACTAACTATAACGATAACTATAACGATAACTAATGATAACTAATAACTAACGATAATGATAACTAACTATAACGATAACTATAACGATAACTAATGATAACTAATAACTAACGATAATGATAACTAACTATAACGATAACTATAACGATAACTAATGATAACTAATAACTAACGATAATGATAACTAACTATAACGATAACTATAACGATAACTAATGATAACTAATAACTAACGATGATAACGATAACTAATGATAACTAATAACTAACGATAACGATAACTAATGATAACTAATAACTAACGATAATGATAATGATAACTAATGATAATTGTAATAACTAACGATAACGATAATGATAACTAATGATAACTAATAACTAACGATAATGATAACTAACTATAACGATAACTATATGAGAGAGTGTGTGTGTGTGAGCGTGAGTGTGTGTGTGAGAGAGAGTTTGTGTGCATGTGTGTGAGTGAGCGTGTGTGTGTGTGTGTGTGTGTGTGTG